TCTGTGCATTTGCGCTGCATGAAAGAATTTCTTAGTGCTGAAAGCAAAAAGCATAAACATAAGCACAAGCATAGAATAGATAGGAATTAGGAAGGAATGTTGAAAGGATAAAAGTAATTATAAGCATAAAAAAAATATCCTGATATAAAAACATTGAAAACGTTTAAAATTTTATTTACCGATTAAATTAAACCAAAAACTGAAATCCGGCTAATGTGATCACCACCATACATATAAAGTTAAACAACAGATATTCATTTACAAAAATAAAAAAATTGGTGTCCGTACAAATTAGAAAAAATTCCTTCTAATAAATTTATTTCAATATCCAAATTCTAAAATTATTTGTAAATTTTTAAAATTTTTAAATATAAATGAATGTACACAGGGATGTGGTGTCATATAATTAATTATATATACTGTATATATATATTGATACGTCTAAATAGCCAGCTAAATTTTAATTGCTTACTACAGAAAAAAAATTTATTTAAGGGTTTGAATTTTAAAATAATAGTATTTAAAATAAAGAAGGAACATCTTATTGGCTTGATTTAGAATCATGTGATCGGTTGTTTTTTGACCAATTTTAAATTGTTGTAACGCCAAAGGAACCTTTTGTCAATAGCAAAACAATTGACATTTCATTATTAGTATCTTTAAAATTTTACCTCAATTGTATTGAATCAGATACTTCTAAAATCGAATCATAAACTTTTTTAAAAAAAAATCATCCAAAATTTTTTAAAATAAATTTTAAAATAGAAAATATCCAAAAGCACGAGAGATATTAAGTGGTTGGCTGAAATCAATTTTTATAACAGGTTGATTTCGTAATGCCGATTTTGAAGGTCTCACGAAAAATTCCAAGGAAAAGATCATCCATTTAGCTCTTATCCTTCTTATTATTGCTCACATGAGTCTAGGAACCATTTTTATTATAAAAAAGACCAAGTTTTATAGTCTTTAAAGGTTGCAAACCAATATACCAACTTCGTGTAACATGTAGGTATAGTTCAAGTTCTTCCTAGTAAAACTTGGTGGAACACTGGATGTCATCGGATATCTTTAAATATGTTGGTAGTTTTCAATAAAACTTTGTCAGGTGTTAAGTTTACTATGTACTATAATACATTTTCCTATGGCAGATTGAATTCTATAGTAAAATCATGTGTAACATTGATAAAACACGGTTTCTAAATTTAGAATAATATTAATAGGCGGTAAACTACGTCCTTGTTTAGTTAAGTTATCCGAAAGTTCACTCTTTAGTAAAAGTTGACGTAATTCATTTTTGATACGTGATGGTGTTAATTGGACACCGTAGTTGATCTTTAGTCATCCCTATAAAAAATTTTTATCCGAATATTTCCATTATTTCTCCGTGTCTTCCATAAAAATTCCATGAAAATGATACATTTAGTGCTTCGATCCGGATGAAATCCGTCATCTGGATTACACAAAAAAAAAATCCGGATTATATCCGGTTTGATCTGAATTGAAATCCGGGTCAGAAATCCAGGTAAAATCTGGAATCCGGATCAGATTTCATATATAAAATTTTTTAGATTGCATATGACGATCCATATTAGAGATAATGGTACTTATTAATACAATTTGGTAGGTTTTTTTAAATTTTGTAGCCTTTTTTCCGATTTGATTATTGAATTTGAATTAGCTTATTTTATCGTAATTCAGGCCGGCACTATTAATTTGGCCTGAGTTACAAATTTTATTCAAATTTTGATAAAATCAGGCTTAAAAAACAATATCGCTTCTTAAATTATGATTTTACTTAATAAGATTAATAAAAATGTAAAAATAATTTTCACTTTAATTATATTAAATAAATTAATAATAAATAAATAATTTTTTACTAATCATCAATTTATCGTTGTTCATGACAAAATTTATATATTACAAAATTATTTATCAGTTGCGAAACTAATTAATAGACTATTTATTTATTACAAAATCTATAAAAAATATTAGAAAAAATTTTTTTTTTCTATCCGGATTCTGGATGAATCTGGATATTTTTCATCTGGATCAAATTTTGGATCAAAACCGGATATCCGGATGAAAAAAATCCAGATTCATCCGGATTCATCCGGATGGACTAGAAACGGATCGAAGCACTAGATACATTAGGACCCCGGAAAATACTTATATAGGTAAGGTCCCAAAAATATTTTTTATTAGTAGCTCTAAGCATAGGTTTTTACTATGATCGCTAAGCATTGTTGATATCTAACCTTAAAAATTATATGAAAATAAGCAAATTAATCT